GTGGCGCTGTGGGCTAAACCGCAGAAGCCTGTGCTCTAGGGTCAGAAGACCAAGCAGTCGTAAGATCGAATCCACACAACGGAGTGAGCGCCCGTCGCTTGTCCCAGCTCCCGCCAACCTAGCGGTTCGAAAGCGTGCAAATGCAAGTAGATAAATAGGGACCACTTCGGTGGGAAGGTAACAGCGTTCTGTGTCTAAGTCGCACAGGCCATGTGACCACGGAAGATTGTCTTCGGACAAACGCTGGCTCTATGGCTTGGAAACGGGGATGAGCACCACCCCCTAGAGTTGAACACGACTGAACAAAAATTGTCAAGGGGAACCTTAACCTTAACCGAGGAGGGGGTGGCTGCCCACAAAAGGCTGTATGGGCACTTTGCTCTGCACACTGGAAACTGTAATGTTGAAAGAGGGACTTAAGAGGTGAACAGGCACAGTCCACAGCAGCCAAGGAAGCCTAGACAGAGCTCAAGAATTGTAGTTGATGCCATTTCCTGATCAACCTTTTCCCCCAACCTCTCAGTCCTAGGAACAAAGAATCCTGAGATTCTGCTGCCTACAAACACTTTGGCTAGCATTTTATTTAATTACGTAAAAGTCTTCTTTGTTGGTACAATAATCAGAAAAGAGGAGGAAGTCGAAGAAGAGGACCAGTGCTAGAATATTAATAGCTAGATTCTGGAAAGATAAAAATGATATAAAATTAGAAGATTGGTATAATGAAGTATGGCACATTGCATTAAATGATAAATTGATGACGGAACTCAAAAGGAAAGGAGAGGAAATAAGTTCATTTTTTTTATGCCATTTGGGATAGATTTGTTCAAAAGGAAAGGAGGGGAAATAAGTTCAAATTTTTTTATGCCATTTGGGATAGATTTGTTGAATTTGTATTAGTGAAAGGAAAGGGGAAAGACTCTAAACAACAATCAATACAATTTTGGAAAGGAGGTTCGTATTAAAAGCATTCTTCCAAAGGGTCCTATGGGTATGGGGGAGCACTGTGGTTTAGAGTGTATTAGTAAATATTTTGTATTTGTTTTTGTTTTGGAGATTTTTTTAAAAATAACAAAATAAAAATGAAGAAGAGGATGAGAAGAGAGGGTTATAGTTTCTAAAGTGTTTCAAGGTTTTGAAATGATGTCTGTTTTATTAAACATTATCCTCTCATGCCCCTTCAATAATATTATGTGGAATTTAAAATATCTTTAATAAAACATCTGTATTAAATATTAATACATGTTGCCTTTGTTCATTAAATCAATATATCATTAAAGATGTTAAATAGCTTTAATAAAATCAAAGCCATTTGTAAATTAAGAAAAAAAACAATTATTCTGATCTTCAGTTTTATTTATGATGTTCTGATACAAAGACAAGAGAGTTGAGTGCACTGCTGGGCATCACAGAACAGGGCAATTAGCTGGGGAAGATTTATTCATTTCCCAAGTCTTCCAGGTTTACAATTTTTATAATGTTTGCTTTTTCGAGCTGCACATTTCCGCATTGTCTGGGGCATCCCACTGTCTGAAAATCACTGGGTTATTAACTTAAGAAATGGATAAGTGCAAAGTTCTACATCAGGGTGTGTGTGGATGGACCAAATGCACAGATACAAGATGGAGGCTATTTCGCTCAATAACGCTATGGGTGAAGAGGATCTTGGGATTGTTGTAGATCAAAAACTGGATATCAGCCAACAGTGTGATGTGGATGCAAAAAAGGTCAATGCTATTTTAGGATGCAGAAGTATAGTCCCCAAATCCCATGAGGTACTAGTTTACCTCTATTCAGCACTGATTAGACTTGACCATGAGTATTGTGTCCATTTCTGGGCACCACACTTTAAGAAGGATGCCAACAAACTGGAGCAAGTTCAGAGGAGGGCGACAAGGATGATCAGGGGACTAAAATCCAAGCTGTACGAGGAAAGATTGAAGGAACTGGGCACGTTTAGCCTTAAGAAAATAAGACTATGGGGAAATAGGATAGCACTTTTCAAATACAGTGGCGCCCCGCATAGTGACGATAATCCGTGCAGCAAAAATTGCTGCAAAGCGATTTTGTTGCTATGCGGTTTTAAAAAGCCCATAGGAATGCATTGAAACCCCTTCAATGCGTTCCTACGGGCTTAAAACTCACCTTTAAGCGAAGATCCTCCATACGGCGGCCATTTTCGCTGCCCGGTAAGCAAGGAATCCGGGCGAAAAGACAGCGGGCGGCCATTTTTTTTACGCGGCGGCCATTTTGGAACTGCCGATCAGCTGTTGGAAAATCATTGCTATGCGATGATCGGTAAGTGAAACAGGGTACCGATCGTCGCAAAGCGATTTTTTCCTATTTAAAACGTCGCAATGCGATGGCAAAAATGATTGCAAAGACATCGTCGCTATGCGGATTCGTCGTTAAATGGGGTGCACGTTAAGCGAGGCACCACTGTACTTGGAAGGTAGTCATACAGAGGAAGGGCAGGATTTGCTCTTGATTATCCCAGAGTGGAGGACAGGTAACAATAGGCTCAAGCTAGGGGAAGCCCGATTTAGACTGAATAACAGGAAAAACTTCTTAACTGTTAGAGCAGTACAGCAATGGAAGTGATTACCTCGAGACGTGGTGAGCGCTCCAATGCTGGAGGCATAAAATTGGACAACCCTCTGCAGGATCTGCTTGGATTTGGACTCCTGCCTTGAGCAGAGGGTTGGACTTGATGGCTTCAGAGGCCCCTCCCAACTCAGTTATTCTTTGATTTTATAATCACAAGGTAGGCTTTTTTTTGTTTCCTAGACCTATTTTTGCCCAGTTTGGGGTTTATGTCTGAGCCGGATACAATTTCCTGCATTCCAAAGGAAAGGGCAGCTTTTTGGTGACACAGAAGGAGCTGAGTGAGTGTGTGTGATTCAGGAAAATGAGTGCTTAACATTGTCTTCATTGCCTGTCATCTTTTTCCTTCCTTTTCAAAAGCTGCTATGCATGAAGACACTCTTGCCCCTCTGTTTGCAAGAAATCACAAAGAAATGTAATTGAAAAGTAGAGTTCCCAATAGAATTTCAAAGGATGTCAAAAAACACAGATAAAAAGAAATCATCAAGGACAGCCAAAGAATTACTCACACATTTCATCCACAAGTACTTTGGCTTCCATTTAGTACACAGCTGTCTCTAAAACACTAGGGAGAACTCCAAGTCCTCTGTCTCAAGTTCTCTAGTTTTAAAATGGGTTGGGAGAAATTCCAGACTCCTTGAAATACACAAGTCTATATTTATGAAAATTCTATCTAGCCTCAGAGGTGGAGCTCATGTTGGTCCGTAGACAGTTTCCGTGGTCACGTGGCCAGCGCAACTAAAAATGGAATGCTGTTACCTTCCCACCAAGGTGGCACCTATTTATCTACTCGCATTTACAGTACATGCTTTCGAACTGTTAGGTTGGCAGGAGCTGGGACAAGTGACGGGTGCTCACTCTGTCGTGTGGTTTCTATCTTACGACAGCTGGTCTTTTGACCTTGCAGCACAGAGGCTTCTGCGGTTTAACCCGCAGTGCCACCACGTCCCACTGTTCTGTTAGTGCAGCCTAAAATAGCACTGGCCATATCACACTGTTACTCATGCTCAGCTTGTGAGCTACAGTTATTCCACAATTCTTCTCACTCATAGTATTACTGAGCCAAATATCCCCCATCTTATAACTGTGTGCTATGGGTCAAGGGGGGGACCCATGTGTAGAACTTTGCACTTGTTAAATTTCATTTATGGTCCCCCTCCATATGTAGAACTTTGCACTTAACCTTATTAAATTTCTTTCTGTCGTTTTCAGCCCAGTGCTCTAGCCTATCAAGAATTTTGATTTTTTTAAAACAAATTGTTTCTGTTTCCAAGCATATTAGCTATTCCACTCAATGAGAATTGCTAATGGGAGTAGACTTCTACCATAGTATTTTTTTACATGACAAATGAAATAAATGCCGACTGATTGATTTCCTTGCACAAACAGGGGTCCACAATGAATGAAGGTGTTTTATTTTTCCTTACTGGGCAATTGGTCATCCTTTGCATTGTGCCTCTCTACTCTACCCTCACCCCACCCTAATTCTTATTATCTGTGGGTGTTTGATTTTAAGAACAGGCTACTACAGCCTGTTTTGAAGAGAAAACAGATGGGGTGAATCAGCCGAATTGCATGGTTGCGGAAGTGCAAAATATGCTTGGTCAATGTGAGACCAATGGAAATTCCTCTTGGCCCGTGGGTGGCTTAACATCATGTTCTTTCATGTACCTTCCAGGTATAAAACAAATATAACAGAGAGCACAGAATGGGAAAACCTTTCTTTCGTTCCATTTTCAGTCATTTTATTTCTGTTTCTTTTTTTTTCCCCCTACAGGATGTGACCTTCAGGAGAAGAAAGCATCAGGAAAGCAAACGATTTGTCAAACACCACTACTTATAATAAAATTACTGATCCCTCAATTTTGAATTTTTTTAAAAAATGTTTCTGTTTCCAAGCATATTAGATATTCCACTCAATGAGAATAGCTCACAGTATTTTACCACAGTATTTTTTTTTTTAAAAATGACACAAGAGATAAATGCTGACTGATTGATTTCCTTGCACAAACAGTGATCCACAATGAATGCAGGTGTTTTATTTTTCCTTACTGGGCAATTGGTCATCCTTTGCATTGTGCCTCTCTACTCTACCCTCACCCCACCCTAATTCTTATTATCTGTGGGTGTTTGATTTTAAGAGCAGGCTACTACAGCCTGTTTTGAAGAGAAAACAGATGGGGTGAATCAGCCGAATTGCATGGTTGCGGAAGTGCAAAATATGCTTGGTCAATGTGAGACCAATGGAAATTCCTCTTGGCCCGTGGGTGGCTTAACATCATGTTCTTTCATGTACCTTCCAGGTATAAAACAAATATAACAGAGAGCACAGAATGGGAAGACCTTTCTTTCGTTCCGTTTTCAGTCATTTTATTTCTGTTTCTTTTTTTTCCCTACAGGATGTGACCTTCAGGAGCAGAAAGCATCAGGAAAGCAAACGATTTGTCAAACACCACTACTTATAATAAAATTACTGATCCCTCATGTACTGGCCTTTGCTAAAGGAAGAAAAGGGGAGTGAATAGGCAGTGCTGATATGAAACATTCTGGGGAGAAAATGTCAATCCTCGATTAAAAAGAACACCATCCCAAATTTTGCTGTGAATTTAGGAATTCCCACAGGATACCATTGTCCATCTAGCGCATCATACCTCAATGCAGCGGTTACGCCTGTATAGTTAGCAGGAAAAAACTGGACAGATTAAAAACAACAACATTAACACAAGGTATTACAGTATAAATACGCACAGTTATCAAGACGTCTAAACAGACACTTAAATGTCCAAAATGGATGACGGGTATAGAAACAAAGTGAACCAGGATGACTACCGTTATCAAGATGGTAGCTATGATGGCTATGCTCCTAACGATGGTTATTATCAAGGGGGAGAGGAACCTGGTCAAGAGGAAGAAGCCCAAAGTGATGCCACCGAAGGCCATGATGAAGATGATGAAGTCTACGAAGGCGAGTACCAGGGCATCCCTCATCCGGATGACATTGAGCCCAAGAAGAAGAGGAAATCACAGGGGCTGTCTGATGAGTTTAGAGACCATGCTGACCTCATGGCAGAGAAGATGGAGGATGAAGAGCAGCTGGCCCACCAGTATGAGACCATCATTGAGGAGTGTAGCCATGGACGCTTCCAGTGGATCCTCTTTATTGTCCTTGGCTTGGCGCTGATGGCGGATGGGGTGGAGGTGTTTGTGGTCGGTTTTGTCCTGCCCAGTGCTGAAAAGGATATGTGCTTGTCAAGATCCAACAAAGGGATGCTAGGTGAGCCTTGCAACTCTTAAATGATTTATCGTGAGGCTAGGTAAGGGCCGCCTTCCCCAGCTGGGAGGGCCTTCAGGTGTGTTGGAGTTCTATTCTTGTCATTCCTACCCATCATGCTTGTGGCTGCGAATCATGGGGGTTGAAGTCCAATATACAGTGGTGCCTCGTATAGCGAGGAGTTGAAGTCCAATATGCTGGCTTGGTTTGAGACAGTTGTAGACAGTCATGAGTTTGAAACAGACTGGGAGAATAATTATCATTGTCTGTATTCAGTCGTTGGTTTCACTCCCAGCTCCCATTCTGGGGCATATTCCATTGTGAGTTAGAGTTGGGAGTCAGAGTTTATGCTTAAATTGAGATTTCTTGAGGGATTGTAATATTATGGTTGAGAGTGTGAGCTATAAAATAAAACTAATATCAAGATCTCCCAGATCCTAAACGTCGTTGAACGATCGCATTAGCGATCCCCAAAAAGGGATCGCTATGCGATTTCGTCGTTGTACGGTGCGCTCGTTAAGCGAGGCACCACTGTACTAGCTTGGTTTGAGACAGTTGTAGACGGTCATGAGTTTGAAACAGACTGGGAGAATAATTATCATTGTCTGTATTCAGTGGTTGGTTTCACTTCCAGCTCCCATTCTGGGGCATATTCCATTGTGAGTTAGAGTTGGGAGTCAGAGTTTATGCTTAAATTGAGATTTCTTGAGGGATTGTAATATTATGGTTGAGAGTGTGAGCTATAAAATAAAACTAATATCAAGATCTCCCAGATCTACTGAATGGCCCTAAGAAAATGGAAATAGATTGGTGGGAACATCTCCTACCGTAGAGTTGGATGCGTTGATCTTCGCAAAGCGAGTTTTGCCCTATCTAAACGTCGTTGAACGATCGCATTAGCGATCCCCAAAAAGGGATCGCTATGCGATTTCGTCGTTGTACGGTGCGCTCGTTAAGCGAGGCACCACTGTACTAGCTTGGTTTGAGACAGTTGTAGACGGTCATGAGTTTGAAACAGACTGGGAGAATAATTATCATTGTCTGTATTCAGTGGTTGGTTTCACTTCCAGCTCCCATTCTGGGGCATATTCCATTGTCAGTTAGAGTCGGGAGTCAGAGTTTATGGGGGTGTTCTTTTCCTCAGACTTTCCTTACTGCTTAAACTGAGATTTCTTGAGGGATTGTCATATTATGGTTGGGAGTGTGAGCTATAAAATAAAACTAATAACAAGATCTCCCAGATCTACTGAGTGGCCCTAAGAAAATGGAAATAGATTGGTGGTAATATCTCCTACCGTAGAGTTGGATGCGTTGACCTTATAATCCCCTTCCAATCCAACTATTCTATGATTGTACAATACCCTCAGTTTTCCTGTGTATTGTACATTATACAGCTTGTTTGTAATAATGGCCAATATAATGCTTTCAAGTGTTTCAGCTATTTAGGGCTTTGAAGGGGGGGACTGGTGAGCTCTAGGATCTGGGGTGGGCTGGAGGGCAGTCTTCTAACCTGGAACTCACTGCAGACCATGACAAAATGGAATAGCAAAACAAGAAAGCAAACTGGGGATCAAACCTGTTCACTTGTGATTTCATAATATCTTTTTTAGGAGGTTTCCTGGGTCAAAACAAGATATGGGTAGGTGTTCTCTGTTTTTAGGGTACCTGTCGGCTCCTTAAAGCTTCTAGGAGTGGGAAGTGTCGTTTTGAGAACAATTTCTCAAAATTGTTGAGGAGAGATGGAGATTAGGAGACAAGGTCTGGAAGGACCAAGATGGGGCACAGAGACAGCCCTGGTGGGGTTTCAAGCAAACTGTGGGTTACAGACTTTCTTTCCCTCCTGGCTTAATGCTACCAAGTAGTTAAGTGTAGAGGCACAGGAGTGTGTGGAGACAGTTTCATGTAACCTAGGAGCATCTAGGGTGGACTAGAAGAATCAGCAGCCATTGGGCATGTACTCTGAGAGAAAGAAAGAAAGGCAGCCATTTTAGAATCTCTTGAGCCACATGGAATAAAAATCTTTGAGTGCTTCATGGTTAAATCAGGAAACCTCATCCTTGACTGAGTCATACCACAAAGTGGCAGCTCTTTTCCTGGACTATCAAAATTGTTGAGGAGAGATGGAGATTAGGAGACAAGGTCTGGAAGGACCAAGATGGGGCACAGAGACAGCCCTGGTGGGGTTTCAGGCAGACCGTGGGCTACAGACTTTACCTCCTAGGTGTGGGGCTGAATGCTACCAAGTAGTTAAGTGTAGAGGCACACAAGTGTGTGGGGACAGTTTCATGTAACCTAGGAGCATTTAGGGTGGATTAGAAGAATCAGCAGCCATTGGGCATGTATTCTGAGAGAAAGAAAGAACGGCAGCCATTTTAGAATCTCTTGAGCCACATGGAATAAAAATCTTTGAGTGCTTCATGGTTAAATCAGGAAACCTCATCCTTGACTGAGTCATACCACAAAGCGGCAGCTCTTTTCCTGGACTATTCCATATAAAGGCTGACGGCTCAAGTTGTAGACAAGAGGTTGGAAAAATTTGATTTTTTGGAGTAAAACTCCCAGAGACCAAAATGGCAACACTTGACTGGGCCATCCTGGGAGGTATACCCTAAACCAGCTATTCTCAATGGGGACCCTATGGCCCTATAGGTGGCTCTGACACATGTGAAGGAGGCCACAGACTGGAAACAATTCTCCACAACAATTCTCCTTATAAGGTTGACTATGTGATTTATAAAATCCTGATTCAGCCTATATTGCTTCCTTATTGTGTTTATGGCCATTGCCAAAGGGGGCGGGGGAAGGATGGGGTGGCTGCTCTAAACAGTTAACTTTTCTAAGCTCTGCTTATACCCTAGGTTATCCTTCTTCTATACAAAATTACACGAGGAAGTTGTAGAAGAAAGCAGATGGCCTTGTATCATAAATAGACTCCTTTTCTCTTCAGGGAAAAAGACACATTTCACAGCAAACATGGCACATGATCCAAATTATACTGTATATCCCTGTTTCTATGGCTAAACATTAAATCTTTATTAACCCGTGAGGATACATTTGCTGCAGTTTATCCCACATTCATCACCTCAAATTTGAAAACAAAACAGAGTGGGCCCAGAGAGAGTTTGCCTAGAAGAAGGCTGGTTCAAAGAACCTGCATTGTAAGAATGGAAGAAACCTTCTGGCTCAGAATGGCCAGCCACCTGTAAGTTTAGGGGACAGGGTTAATTTAAGAGTTTTCTAGAAGAAAAGCACATATGCACATAGAGGGACGTGGTGGCGCTGTGGGCTAAATCACAGAAGCCTGTGCTGCAGGGTCAGAAGACCAGCAGTCGTAAGATCGAATCCACGCAACGGAGTGAGCTCCCGTCGCTTTGTCCCAGCTCCTCGTCAACCTAGCAGTTTGAAAGCACGTATACGCGAGTAGATAAATAGGTACCATCTCGGTGGGAAGGTAAAACGGTGTTCCCTACTCACGCTGGCCACGTGACAACAGAAACTGTCTTCGGACAAGCGCTGGCTCTACGGCTTGAAAAATGGGATGAGCAGCGCCCCCTAGAGTCGGACACGACTGGATTAAAAATGTCAAGGGGAACCTTTACCTTTTTACCTTATGTATGCACACAGAGTGTTTGCTTATCTCCTTTCTGCTCAGCAGAGCATCCAAAATAATTTGTGATAGAATAAAAGAGTTAAAAACGGATCTAGAACATTTTTAAATGACCAAAATAATATCTCTCACAAAGAGAACCTATGTAAAATCCAGTTTTAACAAACCCTACCCTACACACCAAAGAGACCCTTCAAAACAGTGCAGTTGGAGCTGCCCATTGCAAGTTCAGTCAAGATGGGCACCGACCCAGTTTCCCTTCCATGACTGAGGTGCTGGCTGACCTGTTGTGTCCACCAATCTTTCCTCTCAGGGTGGCAAGACATGAAACTCTGTGAAGGATCTCAGACTTTGGGAGGAGGCGATCTGTGAGGAATTCTCTCCACAAGCCGTCTAGGGCTTTGTAGGCCAAAATCATCAGCTTGGATTGGGTTTGATGCAGGTCGAAAGCCAACGCTGTCGTTATAAGGTCTCTCGAGTGCATGAGCTGTAGCTTCTGAACGTTTCCAAAAGCAGCCCCTTGTGGACTGCACTGCAGTAGTTTAATTCTGCTTTGGGAAAGTACTTCCTCATACCCAGGCTTTGTAGGATGTTGAAGTGATAGTGAGTTCCTCTCACTCGGTCATGTAGTTACACACTGTGTCCCTGGGCCTGAGCCACTTCTTCAGCTATTGTTCCCTTCAAGCTGAACAGCCCAGACTCCCATTGCAAACATGCCCTACTTCTATGGCATCTTTCCCCAGCTTCTGGTGCACTCGATTACTCCACTGTGAGATATTGTTGGCCATGCTAAGCAGTACAGAGACAGATTAAGTGAGCAATAAATAAGCATGAGCACAGGTAAAGAATATGTTGTCAAAAGGAGGATGCATTCTATGGGTGGCTTCTATCTTGTCACTTAATGCCATTTTTGTCATTTTAATTAAGTCACAGGCCTTTCTATTGGTGCCAACATTTGCTTCTACAAATTAACAGGTGCTAGAAATGCAAATCTCTTTCTCTTTTTTGTGCTGTGCCTTCCTTAGTCCCATAAATCAAAATCCATCCAATACTGCAGTACCTGGTAGTGAGTCAGCGCAGCCTGTGTGTCGCAGCTGGGATTATTTTTGCTCCTGTCTTCCAGATGTGATTGTCCCTTTCAGTCCAATGTTGGAACAGTAACTATTGTCAGACAGAAATTGTTTTACATTTGACCTCAGCAGAAGTTCAATGTTTGGGGGGAGGGGGGTTTAGCATGAGGAAACCTGGACCAAGAAGATAGCAACAGAGAACGCACAATGTATTCACTAAGGCTTTCACGGCCAGGATCTAATGGTTATTGTGGGTTTTTCGGGCTCTTTGGCCGTGTTCTGAAAGTTATTGTTCCTAACGTTTCGCCAGTCTCTGTTGCTGGCCT